CGCATGCGCAGTGCCGTCGACAGCGCCACCGCAGCGGCGTGACGTCAGGGCCGTGTGTTGGTCGGACAAGCGCCCGAAATTCCACCACGACATGGTGGAATTTCGACATGTCCGCTGTGATGCGCCGAGTCGCAAACTGGGACTCGAACTGCACAAACCACAGCAGCGGGTCCGCCATCCAGAAGGGAGGCAGCTTCAAGGTGACTGTAGAGATGCCGGAGGAAGTTGTCGCGTCGTTGTCCGTCATGACAAGGCTGGTTCCATTGGTTCCGTTGCAGTTTGGAAACCGGGTCACCACTATGGCTTTCCGGACTGCTCTCGTCAGCGCGGCGGGTATGAACCAGACTTGGACGTAGTTCAATTACTCTACTCAAACTACTGTAGTTTAACTACTTTTTCGAGTAACTTGGTAACTTTCAATTACAACTTGATTTGGGTAATTAGTAGTTTAATTTAACTACTTTTTTCAGGTAACTTCTACTCAAATTACTAACTACTTTCAAAATTATATAGTGCTAATTTCGCCCATCACGAAAGTTTGAGGGCAGAAATGAATAAGACGCCGGCAGGTAAAGTGGCATTCCCGAACAAGGGGCCCCATTGTTCGGGAAGGCGTCCTTGGGCCAAGGTGGCGACGAGCAGCCAAAACATAGCACCGGCACGCACGAACGCAGGAAGAGATGCTTAACAAGCCTTGGTCGGGTATTGACCTAATCCGGTAATGCACGCAGGCGCCGCGTTTCCAGCTGCAACCATGAAAGACGGGGACACTCCGAGAGTTGTTATTGTTTTCGTGTTGTCTGTCTTTAGTGAGTTCTGACTCAAGCGGTAGGTTCCACGGGAGGCGCCACTGGAATGACCTCGCAGCTGGGCTCCTATTCCCATGGTCGGCTTGTCGTCAGCGCATAGGCCATTGCAAAGCCGGACTCCCCCGCGCACAAAGCCTGACACGGATAATCCGTTCATGGGAGCACGTTCCCGCTTCCAGCTGCAACTGTATACGAGCGACGATGCTTGTTCACGTAATCCTTCGCGTCCTTCCGACCATCCATGCCTGGGAGACCTCCTCTTTGTTAAAAACGATTTACTTGTCAGGCGTGTCAGGCGCGTCAGAATATTGTAGTCGCCGGGGAGGATTGCGAGTTGCCCTTGGGAGATCATTTTGTTGGACCTGTTAAACCAAAACAATTTTTTTTTTCAGTAGCGTAGCACTAGCACTACAACGGGATGCGCAGTCGTCCGGATGATCTCATCGTCGTGGCGCGAGACTTGAACCTTTGACGGTCTGGTGCACTCGCTCAGCGTACTCTCAGAACGACGTCGGAATAAAGAGGGGACAGTCATAACAATCTCAACTTGACGAAGAAAAAAGAAAAAAGGAGGAAAGTTTGTTATAAAAGATCCTCTACCCGAGCAAACCTCACATGTTTAGTCATGGACACCTAATATACCGACACTCGCTTACCCGACCCTGCACAGCCTGTTTCTCAAAATCAACGCTGCCGTTCCATCCAGCCCGTCGGTGGAACGTCTATTTAGCTTGGCTGGGGACGTCCTTAGAAGGAAAAGGGGAAAACTCTCCTATCAAAAACTTTGAAAGTCAATTGCTTCTGCGAGCGAATAAACTATTTTGGCGAAAACGCAAGCCATAAATAGACTGCATTTATTTTAGGCTCGCATGGTTTTTCATTGATCAAAACTGCTGTTCATTTTGCTACCACAAAAATATAAAGAAGTAACTTCGAAAGTAACTTCAAAGTAACTCGCTACTTTTTATAGTAGTTAGTAGTTTACTCAATTACTATTACAAATGCGTAATTTCTACTCTACTCCAATTACTTTTGGCGTCGATACTCAGTAACTTAACTTAACTACCTTTTTTGAGTAATTTGTACATGTCTGGTATGAACCAACAGAGTCGGGAAACCTAACTAAAATATTTTACTCTGCAAGGAACCAGAGCTGGGGCACGGGCAGTCAGCCGGAACTTGCAGTGCGGTCTCTTCACCGTCAGGCTGGTCGTTTTTTCTAACTCTCGCGCAGGGCTGCCTCGAGCTCGGGTCCCTCATCGCCCTTCTCTTCTTTTTGAAGAATGCAGACACTTCAGAGCATGGTGTCTTGGTAGGCTCTGGAGGTCCTACGGGGACGCACTGCCACACAACTATGGTTTCGGTCAAGACACCGTAAAACGCAACCGCGTGATTTATTTTTCGAAAATGATGTGGGACTGTTTCTTGGTTCGTCCGATTTTCAGACAGTTTCGTCGCACATGTGCTTCCCGCTTTACTCTTAACGGAATTCCTTTTGTTGAACAATTTTCAGTAAAGTGTCAAAATTGCTCATACATCCCACTGTATTTGACATGTACGCTTCTTTTAGCCGGGATTGTGCCCTCCGAAAATGGCGAAAGCGGAAAGCAAGGCCAGGGGTATGAGAATGTACGCCTGCGCAGGGGGAAGAAAGGTCCATTCCGCCCCTCAGAATTTTAAAACAAAATCTTTGGAAGTGCTCGAGGTAGAAAATAGGATGCCTTTCTCCCCTTTATACGTACGCTATAATGACCATATTTGTGTTTGTATACCGACGAGTGGACGTTTAATGAACATCCCCAGAAATGTATGGCATCGTATGCTTGCGGCATCTCTTGGCGGGCTACGACAGCGCTCCCATAGAAGCCCATGTATTTAATATACAAATATGGCCATAACACCCAAATGTAAAGCTTTGAACAATTTGTCATGCTACTACTCCATTCTATCATGGACCCCTATTCCTGTGCCGAAATTTCAAGATGATGACGTGTAAACTGCAGGTTCCTCAGTCGAATAAACGTTTTGATGTATTGCCACTACGGATAGTATCCAAGTTAATCGAAGTGTACAGTTTATTCTTGGGTATAAAAGAAACTCGTTACGATTGTATAAATTAAATAGAAGTCCTCCCGAATATTATGGCAAATTATGTGGTCTCTAAGATGCGTACTGCATCTGTAGAAAAATATATTTCTAAAACACCTCAAGCATTTTTTTTTTTTTTTTTTAGTTTTGAGATCTTAGCGCGAATAATGATTTTTAGATTCCAGCGCGAATAAGTTGGTCAAAATATTTGCACTAACACTCAACCCATCATGACATCCTCCTGAGAGGTTTCATTTAAAATGGAACACTCGTGCCAGGGCGGGTATATTGATTTGCCTTAATTAAATATATACAAGGTGTTCAAAATTTATAAAATTTTAATAAACTATGGGGGTACGCGAAGTCCTTCGTTCACCTATAGGTAAAAGAGTAATCGTAGCCGTCAATTTATTATTTAACTAAAATGTAATAGTACACGTTTCAATTACTGTAACTAGGGTGCGCGTGTTTATATTGAAAACTTCAAGGCGGACATTTTCCATACGGTGTCGCGGCTGGCTACCGCCCCGGGTGCCGCTGACCCTAGTGCATGAAACCATTGGATTACGGTTGGTTCGCTTTGCCGCCGCCTGATGGCCCGTCATGGGCCCGTCATAACCGAAACAGGCGTCATCCTGACATGCTGCGAAGCAGACATGTGTATGCGTATCAGATTTCGGTTACACTTCTGGCTTACCGTCACTGGCTTCGACGTTGAAAAGTGATGTGGACTATCACTGCCGAACGCAGCGAAAGTCCGAGCGTATCGCGTTAACAGGCACAGGTTGAGTATTCAGACATGACGAAAACGCTTTATTTTCGGTCAGCATCTGTCAACAATAGGTTAGGTAGTTTTTGTTCACTTTCCATAACCAATTCGACCACAAAGACCCACAGTTCAATATATTTAAAACAAAATAGCAAACTTTCACAGCGTCAACGTGATGCGAGATCGATACGAGTAAAAACGAAGCCTGCGACGATGAAAATGTGGCTCCGCTGTACTGACAGAGAGCCCAACTCCGTCGCGTGAATCTCGGCTGTCTCACGGCACCAAACTCCGTTAGCATACAAAATTACTAACGGCGACATCTGTACACCGACCATAGGCGTGCGCACAGGGGGGGCAGGGGGGGCGGCCGCCCCCTCCAATCATCTAGGGGGGGGCGCAAAGTTGGCCCGACTCGACGCGCGACGGCGCCCACGCCAAAGTTCCCTCCCTCTAATGCGCGCAGCAAAAAAAAAAAAAAAAAAAAAAAAAAACCATAAAAACACGCCGCGACGCAGTCAGTCATCGAACAGTTCGCGACAAAACCGCGTAGAATTTTACTTTAGACTATTGGTGAAAAGTACTATATCTCCCACGTGCTACACATTTTTAATCTAGTCATAAAATATTTTTACCACCACATAACATATCCATTAGTTTGTGTAATGTTTGTTGAGCATGACATAATGCGTGCGTGTTATCTTGCTGTTTCTATTACATGTTTCTATCATGCGCCAGAAAGTAAGATTATCAACTGTACATTTGGATGCTCAGAAGAAAAAAAAAATGGCATGTCATAGCGTTTATCTTCAATAATTACTAAATATTGTAACTTGTTGCTTCTCGTATTTTTAATCTGCGGTATGTTCTCGTGCTTTTAAGCTTTGCTGTTACGTTGTGTATTGGGTGGCGTTTTTCGTCCTCTGCATGAACGTTGCAGACGCCATATGACAGCTTTCGCCATGTGTAGGCATGCACCCATGCGTTTGCCCTGTATGTATACTATATTTTCCATACTAGAAGAGTCACGTTGAGGCAATATTTTTAAATATTCTGTGCTGTTAAAGACGGCATATGTGTCGTATCTTTCTGTGGTTTAGAAAGAATGAAAATGTTTTGTATGCGCGTTGTGTCACTGACGCCTCAGCTGCGCAGGGACTGCCTTCCTTTGCGGACGTTTCACAAGAAAGTGAAACCTACTGCTTAATAATATTTCGTATATGTTACAATTCAATATTGTTGAAATAAACGTTTCATAACCATATCTCGTCTCAGCACTACAATATGAGCGTAAGGACATCAGTGGGAGTGCGTTGATAGAAAGCGGGGGGGGGGGGGGGGGCGCTTTGGGGAAACCTTGCCCCCCCTAATGAAAAATCCTGCGCACGCCTATGACACCGACTATAATAATATTTTAGACGTAAATTTCCCCAAAAGTGTAAGAAAATAGCCTATAAGACCTATTCTCCGCGCATGCATAAGTTGAATGACAATGCAGAACTCAGTCCAAGCCCTCTCCTATAGCAAGATAGCAATGCTCTATAGTACACATGTTGAGGGATCTCAGGGTGACAAATCATTTCCAGGATCACCTGACTCCTGCGACTCAGCCATCCAACGTTCTAATTCTGAGTCCTGCTTGGCTGATTTACTTGTAGAAGGTCCTGGACACAGAAACAGTATATGTCAGCATTTGCTAGTAATTTAGTCACCGCGCATAGGTCGTGCCCTTGCTCGCGCCTTCACAAATGCTCCATCCCAGAGTTCCCCGTCGGATGCACCTTTGCATCGTGGCACTTGCACAATATTACCACGCAAACTGTTTTTTGGCACAACTCGAACTCAGGATGATTATAATAAACTCTGCTTGCCATATTGCCTCTACTTCAGACTCAGTAAAATGTGAGGTGCACTAATGTGCAGGAGGCGATTAAGAAGCAACAGACAATCAACACAAACCAGTCATATTCCCGAAAAGAGATAAAGGTAAAATTTAACATTATACTTTTATTGACATGAATGTAAATAGTAGGCTTTTTTAATAAGAGTACATAAACTGCCGCTGAATATCAAAAATGCTTTTAGAACCTTTAAGTGAATATCAATATACTGTGCGTTTTTTTTTTTTTTTTTTTAATATAGCAAAAAATAAAAAAAAAACAGTGTAAACAGAGAATTGATTCCTTCGTGACAACTTTACCGACCAAATTAGAAAATCAAACCATTTGTGTCTGTGTGTGTACTTTTTTTTTTTTTTTTTTTTTTTTTTTTTTTTACGCTTGTATTGGGCGAGTGTTGCACTGCCGAAAACAAACGGAGCATGCGCGCGTTTATCGCAGGCGGCTTCGGCGCCGGGGGAGTATAATAGTGATACCCTCGTCCTTTGCTGGTAACAGCCGCGATTGAAGCGCAGCGCATTCGGACAATCGTGATTGCGTTGGGGGTCATGTGATCGCGCTCCTCGTCACCTGCTCCTTCAGCTGACGCATTCAAATTTCTAATTTGAATGCGTCAGCTGGAAGCAAATATATTTTCTTTTCAGGAATACATCCAGATGAAATTAATTAGTGGATTTAAGTTAATTATTTGCTAATTATCACATTACACTCTCTACCCGTCGTCTTCCGCGGCGGGTAATGTTACAACAACATATCCCAAAAGGAAGTTCTGTATTTCCAGTGTCCTTTTCTTTTTAATTATTTGCATTCTTAGAAAAGAAACAAAAACTGTATAACTTGATAGCACCTTCAGTTGGTATACATGCACGCAACAAAATGTTTCATACTGCATATTTCTATGATGCACCTATGTAATCTGTGATGTGAAGTAAAGAATAGACACCAAATTAAGAACTCTGACCTGGCACAGGTGATAAGAGAGCAGTACCACTCAGCTCAAACATTTCTTCTCGTGTGTCAGAGCCATCTTGTTCACCATCCTCTGCTTGTTTTACAGCTGCAGTAAAAACAAAGAGAAACTCATTGGAAAAGATAATCCCTTTATATTTACCATTAACACAAACTTCCCCAGCTACTGATACACCGAGAAACCAAAACGAAATGAGAAGGCCACACATTTAAGACTTCTACCCTTTCCTACACTTACAGACAACTTTTTTTTTCTGGCCCCAAAGTGTCACGGCATAATGCACTCAAGGGAAGAGTGCATTAACCTTCTAGGCGTCCATGTACTCGTTTCATGGACATTTTTAACATGAAATAAGCAAACAAAACCTTACACGTCCCGGCTGAAAAAAAAGAAAGCTGAAATCTTATTAATTTTTACTTTTTGATGCATAAATTAATGTGCATATACTGGTAATAGAAGAAAGCTTCAATGTAAAATTTTACTACAAATCCACAATTTGAATTGTGGGCTTAGGACAGATACATTGCACCTGCAGACTGAACTAAAGAATTTTTTAAACTTGGTAAAACAAAAAAAAAAAAAACTATTTAAAACTGCCATTCTACATAAACAAAGAGCATCCAGTTACATAGTTACCAAGTTTTGCAAACCTGTGTTTCTCCAACGATTTAAATCACATTCCCCGATAATTTCACATCAGATTAAACCGACCTCCTAATCAAATCTGAGTGTCCACTCAAACTGCACATTTGTGGTACGAGGTGCCATAATTTCATAGTTTGAGGTTGCTTGAGATACCCTTAAAGCTGGTTTCACCTCCATTAAAACCTATCCCTCTCCTGGGATTTCAGCTTCTCTGCAATGTTTCTAAGGACACCAATGAGCAATTTGCACATTGGTGCCTTATTTTAGGGGGTACACTTTATCTTAGGGGGTACATTTTACAGCATATGTATATCGCCCTGTGTCCGTCGCTGTGTGTCAATGTCAATCACCGTGCAAGCGTAACCGTGTGTTCGTCGCCGGTACCACGGCGCATGCGCCTGCGAGCACAAATCTGAAAAACAAAATGCCTGTGCCAGCTGCGAAGTTGTGGGGGTAGAACCCAGGTTCCTGTGCTTCTGAAGTGTTAATCCACTCGGCCACGAGTCTTTATATTCTCTTTAATACATGGAAATAAAGTCTGCGGCTGCAGAATATCAGGTCAAATGCTCATTAACAAGACAACTAAGGATCATGGCCCGGGGGGGGGGGGGGGGGGGGGGGGGGCACGAGCCCCGATGCCCCCCCCATAGTCTACGCCTATGGTGCCGCATGTTTTTGGATACCCCACTCATAAAAGACTGCCACCTGCATCATGAACCCACATCTTTGGCAACCATTGTGAAAACAAATTGTGCTACTGAAGCGTATCATAAAGAGTTCGTGGAGTAATTATTTCAAAACTTCAGAGACATGTGTTGCAATACCAGAACTTTTGAATTTACTTCCTGCATCAAATCATTCGTGACCAGAAATGGTCTGCTCTGCCGCTCTTCGTTAAACGTTCTAACCCATCTTTGCAACATTACTTTGCTCACATGACATTTGTCATTTTCAAAAATTTTATCACACACCAAACTTTGGAGTTGGCAGGCCGTTCTAATCACTTATATACAGGATTAATGCAAAGCATGAAATACACAAATAATCATAGTCTTACAAAATGGCATTGGGGTGTGACTAATGGACGAAAAGACACAACTGCACATGTGCAACTCGAAAGTGTATGCTCTCGCAGTACTTAAGCACAAACGGTATTAACTTTCTGGATATGCCTCGTATTTATTGCTAGAGGCTATAACTGATTTCATATAGGTACTCAACCTGTGGTTCTCTTTGGCAGATCCAAAGAGAGCTGGGCACCATCCAGCAGTCGTTCAAAGGTGACAGCAATCAATGTTTTCAGCCTAGCCACATCCTTTAGAGGAACAAGCTCTGTGGGAACTGGAGGTGGCTCTTCATCAAGGTTTCTCAGCCCTGTCTGAAGTAGGTGGCATAATGCAGCCTCCAGTTTCTCCTCCCAGCCCTGAAGAAGCAGAAGTCCAATAAAACAAAATTAGCAGTGACAAAGAAAAGAATGCTAAAAAGACTCACTTTCATGATTCAAAGTTTAGCTTGTGCCAAAGTTTCAAGACAAGCCTGCCCCCTACTCAGCCCACCTCTATATAGGTAATAGAAATGAATATGCTGCTTAGAAATTAACAAACTATTTAAAAAAGATTTTAAGATAGTAGAAGATAGCCTTCACATAGAAGACTACACCCAAAAGAGGAAGCGGGCAACCCTCTAGAACTCAAGGCGGCCGAACGCGTGGGCTGTGATGAGCAAATCAGGAACCACCTCAAAGAAGACGCGGACCCTCTTTTGTGGGACAAGTACAGCCGATGGGAACGGGTGTGCGTACGAGAACTCCGAACATGCATTGCAATGATACAGCAAAGAATGGCCAAGTACCGAAAGAGGCCACGAAAGGAGACCGACGACGGAAACAATCAAGGCCAAGTGCATCACGGTAGCACAGCCGAGAACGAGGGTCTCTGCGAGAGTTGCAGGGTGCCAGCATCAGAAAAACATGTCTTCTGGTTCTGCCCTAGCACACACAGACTTCACCAGGCCGCAATCAACCAGCTGCCCAGTTTACTGAAACCCGCCATATTTGAGGAGTGGTGCTTGCCTACAGGTGCCCCACAACACAGCAAAGCTGTGCTTGACTCGCTCCTCACTTATGTAAAGACTGTGGGACTCACGCACTACATTTAGCCACCCCTCTATTCCCTCCATCTCCGAAAGATGACATTAATCAAGCTCCGAAGATAAGTTCTCTTTTCCTGTTTTAATAAAGACATTTCAACAACATACATAGAAGACTATATAAAAACTACATAAATATTAGAGATCAATATTACTACTACTACTGATAGCAGAAACTATATGCCATGTAAAAACTAACCTCTTTAATAGATGAATTTAAATCAACCGAAAATGCAGCTTGGAAGATCTTGAAATCGGCAGAATTCATCTGCACTTTGAGTTTGAGTAACAAAAGTATCAGTTGACTCGCAGAGCTGAGCATGGAGATGACATTTTCATGTGCCTTGCATGCTTCCATTTGCTGATTGGCTAATGACAGGAGCTGAGAAACAGAAATACAAAATTCATTATACATAGTATGTTAGTCAGGTCGTTAAGTACCTAATAGAAAGATTTTGGACCAATGCTGACAAAGTATGCCCCCATACTGTTATTTAATCTGAAAGCACATTAAGTGTAAAATTAGCATAGCTTTCTACCATTCCTGTATTTAAAAACGCTGCAGCAGGAGGCAGAAATTAACCCATAAACAGCCTCAACTTTCTACAGTATCACTTTCCAAGACTGCTCCAACCAATGCAAACGAGGACTTTGAATGCAAGGTTGATATGGCATTAAAGCATTGCGAGCAGTGCAAGGAGAAGCATTCTTCTACAAGCAACCCAGCAAAAAATAAAATGCCTGACTGGGCCTATGTCCTTGCAAGCTTCCACACTTTCATTTTCTGGAATTCTACAACTGGCTGGAAGGCATCAAGTACGCATAAATTCTCCTCCAAAATCCATCCAACCCTTAGCTATAGTGTCTCAATACACTTTTGATTGGCAGTTTGATTTGTTTATACCCGACACTTACCTCTCGCTGAGTGACTTCCAGTAGAGAGTCAAAATTGTTTAGAGGAGTTGGAGTTTTATCCTTGAGCTTTGTGAGAACACACTTCTGAACCACCCTAAACTGTGCTGCCCTTTGTCCTAAGTGTTCCTCGAGTTCCATTCCCCTTTGTCTGACCTAAGTGGAAAGAAATAACATCCACATTTTCATCGTAAAGTCTTGATTTAGATCAAAATGACAGTAGCCAGATTGTCCCCACCTCAAAATACTTGTCAATGATGTCAAAATATTCTTGTAATGGCAGGTTTGAGCTGAAGCTGTACTTCAAGGCTTCCCCGTTAACGGAGCGCTTGTAATACTGATGCAAACGTCGTATAAGCTCCATAGTTGGAAGCCAAAGTGCAGCAAAGCTGTCACTCTGAATTCTGTACTTCTCTAGAAAAAAAAAAAAAAAAAAAAAATCTCTTTCATTCCAGTATTAAAATACACCACAAACACAAATTTATTTACTAGAGAAACAGGATTACACATACTTACGGGAAGATCGAGACACTAATATGCTCACTTGGGGTCCATGCAAGAACTGCATTCCAACAGTCTGTGAATTTATATCAGACACAAAATCTGAAATCAATATTTATAGCATGAAAATCTCCTTATTAGAAGAAGCACTAGTTGCTGGCAGCTTGACCTGACATCACCTCCTTTCAACTGATTTCATGTGATTGTGCATTATAATAAAAACTGTGGTTACACCATACATCCTTATATGCTCTCCTACCAACAATACCATTCCTGCCTAAAGCACAAAGAAAGCCATTAAGACAAAGAATGCATGAGAGAAAACAGTATATTTTATTACAAGATAAAATAAAATATGCTGGGCTAAACCAGCATATTTTATATTAAAAATGTTATGTACTATGAGCTTTAGAAGGTACATTTTTAGAAATATTGACTAGATAACAAATTATGCAAACACTTTATGATCAAATGCCAATACAGTGATGTCTCGTTAATATGGACGCCTCCGTTCCCCCAAAAAATCGTCCATAATGTGAGTTGTCTATAATAATGAGAAAAAAATGCATGTATTTTCCTAGTTTGTCCAGGAAAATTGTGTCCATATAGCGGGATATCCATATTAAAAGGGTAAAATTAACGAGACATGACCGCATAAAATTTATTTACAGCGTGTTTAGCAATTAATTACCCCCATATTATGCGCAGCCCTATCAAGAACACAGGCATAAAAAAAATAGCACAGCAAAATCTTTCGTATAACAAATATTTGTGCAAGAAAAGCACTTTCTAAAATCATATGCTTGTGCCTCTTCCTCCGATTACACCACATAGGACTCTTGCAGCTACAACACATAGATACCGAAATCCTCTCAGTATAGTGACATCACTATTATGAACATGAATATTTACTCCTTATAAAAAGTACAAGGTATTTCTATTAAATAAACCTGTACATCTACTTTTTTACAGAGTAAGTAGAAGCAAATTATTTCCACTTTGAAAGGAAAGCAGCAAACGAGGAGGCACTAATAATGTTTAGACTCGAAAATAGGATTTGCACTGGAATTAGTATATGAACATCATGCTCAGTGTCCCAGCAGATGCCCCTTCTTTTAAACTAAATTTTACATTAGTGTCGTGCAAATACTCCAATTGTATTTTCGAATAATGCGCTATTCAATATTCGCTTCGAGGTGAGCTGCGATATTCGTATTTCTCGAAGTGTTGATCGCGGCGGGATAGCCTTATTGAGTGCGCTTCTCACCGAGCACACGTGCACTGGGGGAAAGCAAAACCTGCAAAGCCTGATCGCGGCAGGTTAGCCCCGTTGAATGCGCTTCTCACAAAACATCTGTGCACTGCGTAGGAGCAATACCCTCGGAGCTCGCGGGCTCGCGGGTATTGCTTCTCCGCAGTGCACAGGTGTTCTGTAAGAAGCGCACTCAACAGGGCTAACCCACCGCGATTATGAAAAAGTTATATTGAGTTTCTTCAAGACAATCATGTACAGAATTGTCTCAGGAGACATGGCTAAAGGCACTTTGACCATGCCACCCTCTTAGCAGCAGCGGATACAAACATTAAATACAAAGCAGCAATGTGCCGACAGCCCGCGTCATCATTCATGCTTGTTTTTTTTTCTTATTGTCAAATTTGAAATAGAAGAATATATGCATAAGATTTATAAAGCCCTTTGCTTAGGATAGCTGTGAAACATCTGTCGTTAACATTACCAGTTCATAAATATAGTTAAATTAAAATTAATTGAGCTTAGAGATGCACAAGTGGAAGGTTGGAAACAGCCTTCTCGAATTCAGCTAGTTTTTGCTTAACCAAGGTGCACGGTAGTGAAAGACTTGGAGAAATTTTCGATATTTGATCCGAAAATATACGGCCAAAACCACTATTCGCTTTGAATTCGCTTCGAACTCAAAATCCACTATTCACACATGCCGCTATAATCATTGCCTTGTCATTTGCTCGGCTCCTTCAAGTAAATGGCAGGGACCAGCTCTCTGCATGTTGTACATGTAAAAAGTGCCAAAGAAAATGCGACTGGAACTTACGGTATAAATTGGTTGTATGGCTAGGTACTGACCTGAAAAAAGTTCATTAGATGGCACAGCTGGCTTATTGGTCTCAATGGTTAGTTTGTGCTCAGATGTCTTCTCAGCCATACATGGTTGAGCAACCAGAGTTAGGGGCAAATGCAAGGATGCCTGTGCCACTTTTGAGGCTCCTGGAACAAATAGAAGTAAAAACCAATAGTATATATAGTTATCTTACATGTTAAAAATTAATTGCAACAAGAAATCGCCAAGTAAATCCTGTAAAGGCGTCTAAAGTCAACAAAGAAAGCTTCCTAGTTCTTTTTTTCTATAAAGGCTAACCTGCAAGCAGGCTTCAGAAAAAGGTGGAAATGCATCCAGCGTCTTGATTTCATGCTCTTAATGGGTATGTTATTTTTTTAACAATTATATCTTTCTCAGAGCTGGCTATAATAACAGCAAACATTGAAACCATTGTACTCAAGAATCATTTTCCTAGACTCATCATAAAACACTCAACAGGAACACATCTAACATTACAAGGTCTCAAAGGGAGGCACTCGCTCGAGCTTGAGGTTTGTGCACCTCAAAGACAGGGACAAAGAACGAGACGACATTAAGCTCTACTTACAGCTGGATTATTTATTGAAAAACACACATCATTTGTACAGATCATTGGGCTCCTGCCACAGGAAGGCGATCTCGTTATCAGATAGTTGCAGTGACTTACATAGTCCAACTCCCCCCTCGCCCTTATGTTAGATGCTTCGAAAATTTCCCTCAATTTTATTCTTGAGTATTTTGAGTATTTTTGTCTCTTGCAGATTAGGAGCACCTGAGCCTTGTCGCAGTGGTGCCCTACCATTGAAACAGCTCCTCGTCTGCCCCACGTACAGCTTAGAATATGTCATAGGGATTTCATAAACCACTGACGTAGAATGTTCAATGAACTGAGTGGCACATTTCTTTACGGATGTGTCTTTACTTAGTTTTATGCCGTTGATCCTTGTGCAGCGACCGGACAGCTTTGACGGGTGGAAAAAAACAATGGGGACTTCAAAGTGTGCAGCAACTCTTTTTAGATTAGGCAAAAGCTGATGGGCATATGACCACTGGTCTAGTGTTCTTTCTAAATGCAGCAGTTTCTCTTTCACCTTTTCTTTTTAGGCTTCAACATAAGGAACTCCGTAACCTCTGCCAAAAAAGAGACCGAATATCCTGCGAATTTAAGGCGGACCGCCTGGTCGCTGAAGCTGTTGCTCATGTCGTGTTTGCAGGGCTTGTCAAGGGAAGCCATCATCAAAGACAGAGCAATCCTTTTTACCAGTTTTGAGTGTGCAGACGAAAACGGAAGAACAGCCCTTTTTTGTGTACGGCTGATATTTCCATCAAATGTGGTCTATTTCTTTCTCAAAGTGCAGATGTAAATTTAAAAACTGCAATTCCCCCGATACCGCAAATTGATGGCTAAAAGTAAGCCTATGCGATTTTGGAGAGAACACTTCTAGCACTCAATTAATTAGTTCTTTGTAGCAAACAGACTGGGTAAATGCACCATCACTGCACTTATCTGATGAGCCCCTGTGGTGGGAGTCCAATGATTTTTACAAATAATGTATCTTTAGATAAACAATCCAGTTGTAAGTAGCACTTGGTGTTGTCTTATTTTCTGCCCCTGTCCTTGAGGCACTTATGCTTCTTTCGATGCATCAACTAGCTCAATTATCCGTTTTACGCACCTCACATACTCTGGCCAAAGTCTGAAACTTAAAAAAACAAGGGACTGAGACATGTTTGAGTATGGGTTCAACATTATTCAATAGTGCCATAAGCACAATAAGAAAAAACAATGATGCTTCATTCAGTGATGTTGAACCTACCCCCCTTACTCTGGTACACAGCAACCACTTTCAGCTCCAACGAAGAAGGCAGTGCATCTCCAGCTTGTTTCACTGTGAAGGCCATCTGATGGTAATCAAGAAGGCTGCTCAATGTAAAGTCTCCATTCAAAGCAACAAGAGGTCTTGCAACTTGAACCACTACGTGAACATCATGCAGAGGTGTTGATGTTTCAAGATGAACCTGCAGGAAGATCCATGAAACTTTGGCATAATGTCATAAATGACTGTCAGGATGAACTAAACAAACCTAACTGCAGCACATACTTCAAAGCAAAGATTTCAGAGTTCAGAAGCTATTTTGTTACATTAGAAAGTAGAATAAATAGAAAATTTAATATGCAATAAACTCTAGATGCTATGACCATTAAGGCCCGTTCACACTCTTGCGACCGAGTACGACTGAGAGAGACGAGATCTCTTAAAACTTCTTAAATGTTTTTAGAATGAGGGAACACACTGGTATTGTGGCGCCATCTATGCGGTGACCCTGGAACTGCATTTCACAAGAGCGAAGGTTTTGCGGGATTTCCCAGGTCAAATGTGCGTAATACCCATAGAAAGGCTCGTTTATAACATTGACAAAAGTTTTTCGAGCCAAGAAAGAAAGGATAATGCGCGAGAAATAAAAAAGACAAAAACAAATATGCCGGACCGCCGAGTTTACACTGCTTCCCAATAGATGGCGCCAGTGTGTTCTCTGGTTTAAGAAGTTTTAAGGAACCCAGGTTTAAGAGGTCGCAAGAGTGTGAACGGGCCTTTATTGTACTTGACAGATGAGCCACAGTCTAAGGTTTGCTTATCTAAGCTATAAGTAGGGTTCAGAGGTTTCAAATAAATTGGAATGGAGTCTATAAACACAAAGGGACAACTTATTTTACAATCTGAATTTCGCAATATTAAACTAAATATTTAACATTAAACATTAAACTAAACTAAAAAGGTGACCAAATTTTTAGTTCCAAGAATCTTTAGCACACGTTTTGGGCTCATTTCACCTTTTACACTGTTGCTTTATGTGTGCTTAAGAGAAAATTAAATAAGCATCTTGACCAGTCAACAATCACACGAAACAAAGGGACTGCAATTTGAATATGCTCTGTTCAATCTGGTGTTGATATGTTTGCACTTTATTATTTGCTTAAGTATGAACCCAAGTACAAGACCAACTTGAAAATACAAACACCAACCACACGAAACATATTTATAAAACAAATTAAACAATTACAAAAACATACCAAATAGACACTTCTGCAGTACCGCAAAATACCGCAGAAGCGCCCACTGAGCTCATTCGTTCATTATTAATATTTCCCAAACTTGGGAGTTCTCCAAATTATATATGTTAACCGCCCAATTTGGCTAGACAAGCGCCCATGTCTAAATTAACCCATTTTTCAGTGAAAATGGGGTGGGTGCACCCCATTACTTTACGATACACTGGAATCTTGTTTTGTCATTTTCTTAGCTGACGATATTGTTGTTGTCGTTGAAGTAACCAGAGGTGAACACACATACAAGTGCAGAGTTGTCCTAGAGTAGAGGGAAAGTGCAATCATTCAGTCCTCAGATATTCATACCAGCGAGGCGGTTTGAATATTTTAGTAATCAAATTTTACTTCACAAGTTATCACTTTGAGGCTTAAACACTTTAATTGTTTGTGATTCTCGAGCTATCTCCGAGACAGATAAAACTGCATCTCCCATGGAGATGCTGAGTTGCATTTTTTTCGGTTCCCTCGGTGTGCAGCAGGTCTCCAATCTTGGTCCTTTCATTTTTAATGTTTTTGTGAACGACATTCAGGAGGTGAAATTCCATTTTAGTACTTTGTCTCTGTTCGCTGATGATATGAAGTTATGTTGAAAAGTGCAACGCACCCATGACTGTGCCTAGCTGCGGACTGATATTGATTTTATTTGTTCCTGGTGTGCAGACAACCAACTTAACTATAAATAAATAAATAAATACAGTAGACCGTAGAGCACCATTTATACATTTCTAAGGGAACCATGGTAAAAAAATGTATGATCCAGGAAAACCAAACAACCAATAATGCATTCAGGGGCCCATAGATGAGGCAGAACGCAACTTTTACACAACAATTTCCATGGACTTCTAGTTGTGGAGAATTACTATATTTGTTCAAATATAGGTTAGACGTTTTAGAGCGCAGCTCTTAGGCGCCTATTTCCGGATTGAGCAGCGTCCGCGTCGGCGCAACAGTGCGTTGCATTATGGAGCGTTTCCCTGCTAAAGTTAGTGGAAAAATTTCCCGCTAAATTTAGCGGGAAACTTTTTCCACTAAATTTAGCAGGGAGACGTTTCTGCTAAATTTAGCTTGAAATTTTCCTGCTAAATTTAGTGGGGAAATTTGCCCACTAAATTTAGCGGAACAATTTTCCTGCTAACTTTAACGGGTTAGGTTTCCCCGCTAAGTTTAGCAGGGAAATTGACATCACATGACCTCAACACCAATCTAGTTTCCCCGCTAGCGGGGAAAATGACGCCACAACTTCGTGTCACGTCACCCATGAACAAATTCAGCGGAAGAGGGAGAGGAGGAGGAGAAAAGGGTATGGAGAAGGGGGAGGGGCATACCCTCCCCTCCTCCTCTTCAAGAGCTGCGCTCTAGTTTTGCATTTGAAATCAGTAAATGTCTTTCATTTTTTTTTTTCTTTTCATAACTGTTCTTTAAATCTAGTGGCCTGTCTATAATCATAATAAAAAAAGTCTTTCAGCCTTTCCACTCTGGTGAAGAAAGAAGAGCAGCGAAGCTGCACTATGTGCCGCCGTCGCTCATAGATGGCGGTAGCTGTCCAGAGCGTTGTGTCGAGATTTATTTGTCCACGGACACGAAACTGGGGAAAATAGCCCTTAAAGACTCCTCTGTAAAAATGTCAGCTCTATAAGAGTGAGCAAAATTTCAGAGCCAATCGAGCTAATGCAGATGCTTCCCCTCATCCGCCGCTGCTCCTAGCACACCGAAGCAAAGCGGTGAAGCTCAACTCGCGCGCTGGTGCAAAAATGCGTTCCCTGACCTCTCCTGCACTCGGCAGGCAGCAGGAGGTGGAGCTACGGCGAATTTTAATTTGTGATTATGTTGCTCCGACAAATAATATAGAAAAAAAAACTTTACACATATTACTAGATCTGTCAGCATTTATCACCCTGGTGCACGCAGCCGTGTTCAGTTTGGTTTAGTTTTGACTGGACTGGACCCTGAACTGGACTGGTTTTGTGATGCCGCGGCGCAGTTCCCGCCTTGCTCTTTCACTCCATTCATTCGCTCGTAATGCCCACTTTCCCTCTTACGTAAGAGGAAAAGTCTTTCTGCACACTTCCAATGATGCGCTGCTGTTGACGCGCACTCCTCTAAAAGCTGTGGCGGCTGCATCCGAAACTACCGACGCCCCGGAGAACAGACTGGCTCTACGAGAACAACAAACCCCTGCGCAAAATGCTAATGCATTTCGTTGAGAATCAGAGTAGCAACAGCAGCGATTTCGGCATCACTTTTTTTTAAGGGGGGACACTACTCAGAAAAAGCAATTTCTGCAAAAAAAGTTGATTTTTAAAAATGTCATATTTGCATCCACCAACATCTACAGAGTATTCCCAAAAAGTTTCATTAGTTTACACTGCATAGTTAATTTTCTATAAATTATTTTCGGTCCACCAATGCTAAAGAAACGGTAGAGGTTGGAGCAATTCGAACAAAATGTTTCTCCATTCCACTTTTTGGCATAAATTTCACTTCAGGAAAACTATTGTTTTGTTATAACGTAACTTGGATTAATTTTTATGAGTTTTTCTGGGGTGAAATTTTAAGTGGAAGATAGCTATGAGCTTGTATTTCTTATTTTTGTCATTTTTCATGCTCAAAAACTAAACATTTTGGACAAAGAATGGAAATCTAAAAAACAGTATTCGTGTTTATGTGGCTGTTTTGTCATGAAAGATGGTAAAATATAGAAATATAGTTCCATAGCTATCTGGCTCTGAACTATCCTAAAGCAATATAATACATGAAAACGACAAATTTATAAGTAATTTCAAAGCAATAGTTGTCCTACGTAGACACGCCCACTTTCATCTTTGAACATTTGCAATTTTTTTTGTACTTCACCCAGATCAACAAAATTTGGCAGAAATTTTCTCAACATCAACAAAAGCCAGTCCTGTAAATGTCATTTAAATCAGACAAGTGGCTCAAGCATTCACTTTCTTGGGTAGTGTCCCGCCTTAAAGGTATCTACATCCGCTCTCACAGCTTTTTAGAATTCAAAAACCACTTTAGCTCTGCTTTATAAACATTAATATCTTTGCCCACTCGACCCTTTTAAAAAGTAAAATTAATTGGAAAAAGAATGAAGTTTAAATGTTTCGTTTCTGTTTTCGAAAGTGGAGTAAAAGGGTCAGTGAATTTTCGCAACATATAATTTAGCAACAGATAACAAAGCCTCTTACCTTTACTATAACAGAAGGAACAAGAGTATCACCATCATCGCTATAAACACCATCATCCAACTGAAAAACAAATTAAGCAGATATTTACATCAAAATAAAACCGTTGCACTAGAATAAAAATTAGTTTGTGAAAGAAATAAACAATATTATACTCACACAAGGCTCCTCAGATACTGTACTTGTAATGACTTTAATTTTCAGTTCACCCTCAGCCTTTTTGGAACCAGGGAAACCTAAGGAAGAAAATGCTATACTGTCAAGCAAAGGTAAGAAACTATTCCTGGATGCAACTCTGCTTTAAACATATATGAGCTACATGTCAAACATCAAACCTATGTTTGTGCCACAAGCGCAAGTGAGTGACTGGACCATCTTCGAGTGTAAATTTTTAATTACAAGGAATCTTAATTTATGCGGTATTGCAAACCCTGGTTGAGATTGAAGTGAGAGAAGCCAAATGATACAGAACACAAAAATGTACCTCATAAAATAAGCACAACCTATGTTCACACAAAAATAAATGTAGTACAAGAGGTTTACATGCCCAACCAATGAAGGGCACCTAGCATGCCCCAGGGGACTTGAAATTAATTTGAACCTCCTAGGAATTTTTAATGTGCAACCGAAATCTCAATTTCACAGTGACTACTCCACAGCAAACTTCTATCACACTGGTAGGCATCTCGACCAGGATTACATCCGTAGCTATAATGCAGGTGCACCCTTCATTTTGTACATGAGCACAGCCGCCACAAGAACAAACACTTGGCAGTGATAGTCGAGATTATAGAGCCAGTTCAATTGAAAAAAGATTAAATAAATACAACTGCAGCAATTGATTTATAAAAATAGCCGTGTCTTCTGAAATGTTGAAAGCCAGAAGCATGCATCACTCGAGCAAACAAATGAAAACATTCCTTGAACCATTGTAGAGATGAAATGTCATCAAATAGAAAGGCACATTCCTCATGCAAAACCTAGGCTGTCCACAGTTTATTAAAATATTGTTAAAGTATTGCAATCTAAACCCTGAGGCAAGGAGAAATAAAATAATAGACAATGTGACATATGTACACTTTCTCTTCCTGTTCGTGTGTAACACTTCGAAACTAATTTGCAAACTCACAATCCCCAATGTATTTGGATTTTATAGCAAAATTGTCATTCTACAAATAGTGACCCAAAAAAAAAGAGAGACAGGCTCACTTTCTGTAGCTGACTTGATGAGCTTTTCAAGAGTCTTCAACTCTTCTTCCGTTTCTCTGAACGAAAAATCACGGCTCTCCGGAGCTTGTGCAACAAAAAGCGAAGGATCGGTCCCCAAATAGCAGCACTGGAGCTGACCTTCGTCTGACAGAGCAACAACTGCTCCCTCAATGCTCCTACAGAAAAGAAAAAGACCCATGTGAAACTATATTAAAGAAAGCAACATAAGTTCAATTTTAAAGACAAGCTTTTTTCTTTATGTAGCTAATGAATATTAGAACATTCAGTAACAAATTTTAGAGGGGCTGAGAACACCAAACTGGCAAGTCCAATATACAACTACAAATAAAGCTATGGCAATTACTGTAAAACCCTTAATGTTTGCGAGCCCTTAATTTTCGTGAATTCCACGAATTAAAATATTTGCGAAATTTAAGGGCACGCATTCGGTTTTTAAGAGTTTCAATGCGGGCGTCTGGAATTCGAAAAATTTAGTGGCCGCAATTATGTCCTCTGTGACCGATTCTCGAAAAATAGGGGCCACGAAAATAAAGGGTTTCACGGTATATCAAGCAATGCCAATATAACGGCAAACATACCCACAATTTGCCTTTGAGCAATAAGGCAAATAAAACTTTGTGCTTCCACACAAGGACAGAATCAACATCATCAAAATATAATCAAATCATAGTTAGACTTCCAACTACCACGATAGGGCTTGACTCCCAGGTTACAACTCCCCCACTGTCTCCATATGGTGCAATGTGAAGGGTGCAGCAAGTCCAGGTGGTTGTGCATATAACATACAACATACTGGATGGTAGCCCTGGCCACAGCAACCGGAGCAAAGGTCAGCTGTGCTGCCCATTTCAAGGTGGTGTCCTGATAAACGAGCAGTGTGCTCCTTTGCGTGGCCATCAAAAGCATTATGCTCCCTTCGTTCGCTGAAAACCCCAGCAACATTTTAGTGTTCCAATATCGGCCTTGGAAGGACATGAAGCTGACATCACTGACACTCCGAATTACTCCAAAAATGGCAAAACTGAGAGCCAGATTTTAAAACTATTCCTTTCTTGTTCTTCACTGCTATATTCTAAAGAGTGATTGCACAAGCATAAAACCCTATAGTAAAACCTTAAAGTACAGAGAACATTGCAAAACAAAACATACAACTCAAAGTAAATCACATTTATAAAAATTAATTATAGTTAAAGTACTATAAGAAGCTGCAAATGCAAATTTCATTTTTAAATAAGAATTGTGTGGTGGGCCAAGTTTGAGGCTTGCAAAGAGAATTTGGAATTAACCAATTAAAAATAAAACCTCAATGTAGAGTACGGTCAACCAAAAATCGACTTACCACTAGGATATGGGAACAGACAAGCACTTGAATAATCCAGCATCTTTAAAAAATGGAGCTCTCCACTTGGCTTAAATGCAAATAATGTTCTTTCTCCTAAGTAAAAAAGACATTCAAAGCATAGTGCATAGAGTAATTTGCCCTCCAGAAAAACCTTTGAATGAGAAGAAATTATGACAAAACATTAGATACACTGAACACAAGGGGCACAAATATATCAGGATCTTTCAAGTATCCCATTTTCTTGCATTCAGCATAAATTACAGAGCTCACTGACAGAACCCACCCAGCTCCAAAGAAATGGCAAGAAATTAAGTTGTCACATTTAAAGTCAATGGTTAAAGTGCTATAATTTATTTGGGTTTACTCAAGTTAATGAACAAGCTTCAACACAGACAACACATACAGCTTTTTGGAGCGTATGGGATTAGCACTCAGTCAAAAGCAGTTACACAATCATCCCACTTTTGCTTACCGACTGCATTTCTTCAGACCACCTGCTCTGAACTTTATGATTGAAAGAGTATGCCACAAGCTTTATCTGAAGTCATTTATCAAAGTAATAAGTTGTGATATACAACTAATCAATGACTAAAAGTAGCAAACAATTGATGGTACATACCAAGAACTAAAATAAGTGTTGGAGCATTAGAAAAATCTGCCACTGTTATGTCCATGGCTTCTTCCCCAATAGAAACAGACCAATCAGCCTGAATGAAAGCAACATTTGTAAAAACTGTGACCCCCATTTCATGAAAGAAGACAGGCTCAATATAAGAGCAGAACACTCACAACAATGCGCTTGCCTTTCGGAATAACATCAGCATCATCTGCTGGCCTCTTAGCAGCCTCCGTGGCAACAGCAAGTGTTTGAAATCTTATGAAAGATTTTAAAGAAGTACAAGGAATTCAGGATGCAATGCAAGTGTCAACAGGACACTTCATTTCTTCTAATGTTAAATATTTCTTGCTTTTCTCCTCATGTCGATCATGCTTAAGCCTTCAGTTTTCATACTGTTCTCTCTAGAAATTGCCATGAAATCGGCACCACAACAAAATAGCACATGACAAAACAGCACGTAACAAAACAGTACAGTCAAAACAGCATGCATCAAAACGGCACGGCATCAAAACAGCACAGCACAAAAACGAAGCAATGATAGAAGAGCAAATGGGCCAAAACAGAATGTCTAAAGAGCATAGCGATGAAGCAGCACAGCCTCAAAACCACGCTGACAATATAGCATCTGGCATTAATAAAATGAATGCCTCAAAGCAGTTCAGATGAATCAATTGGTGAAAGTAACAACACAATATTATAACAATGCTGTTAATCATAATGCATACTTTTTGCCTAATAAAGTGCAATCAACTTATAACGATACCACACATATTGATGTACAACTTAGTATAACGATCAGTTTCTAGAGTTTTTGACTTTTATTGATACCACAAATATTGATGTAGAACTTATGACGCTCAGTTCAACGATAATCAGTTATAACGATCGAATTTTCGGGTTTTCTCATTATCGTTACAAGTGGATTGCACTGTATATGGCTGTGGCTCTGATCAATGGCCCCCTAACATTTCCTGAAGCATGCTTTGAGCTTATAATTATTCCGAAGTCATTGTATACACAGTGTTACTTACAAAGGACGCGGAGCTTCAGGCAAACTCATTGGAGGACCAAATGTAGATTTTAGTGCAGCGGTTTGGTATTTCAGATTGTATTTTTGTTGGCAGAATGCTTAGTCGGCATCAAATGTAAGCTTTTGCCCGAAATATTACCGACATTGGTGGTTATCAAATAGCCATCACCGTATCACATTATACAACTTTTTTGATGGTCACTGACCATCGAGGAAGTGTTCAAAGTTTTGGCAGCATATGAACATGCATAATTAAAGTAAACTACTTACCAATAATATTCTATTTGGACTACACTTCAAGGGAAACGATACACAGCATAAAATGCAATTCTTTAGACACCATAAGAGTTATGACAAGCAGGATACATTACTGGTTCATTGCTTAGTAAAAATATTTCTACCAATCTATTCACATCAAAATCTAAAACTCGCTATGAATGACACAACACCCAAAATTAGCATAGCAGCATGTAGAATCAACCAAGGCTTAATCATGCTTCTCGCAGCCTCTTCTGTGTTGCAAACAACATTTTGGGTGGAAGGGTTGGCAGGCCCACCCCAGAGTTTCCTTATCCTTTCATAATCTAAGTCCGGACCATGACCAACCGTGATCCCGAGTAAACCATCTACCTTGCGTTATACTGTTGTTACTGCCACACCAGCTATGTGCATGCTGTTTCAACACTAATGCTGTTTTGATGTACTATTTTGGCACATGCTCTTATGTAGCTGTGCCATTTTGATGCTGTGCTGTTTTGTCACATGCTCTCGTCACCATGTGATTTTGATATGTGCTGTTTTGTCGTGCGCTATTTTGTCACATTCCCCACGAAGTTACAGAAGAACAAAACTCAAGATCAAAATCTCAACATATTATTACGGAAGTCGGATGGGACAATGCCATGTCAGAGAAAAGCTCACAAAAGTAGTACATACCTGTAGCTCTCAAAATGAAAAGCAGTATTCACAGTAACAAAGGAGTCTGTCTTCGAAACATATGCAAAGGGCCCTGGCAGTAGGAACTCAGGCAGAAACCTTGTGAATGCAAAACTCCCTTGCTCGAAAAATGACAGGGCACCATCCACGCTTTGCACACATACAAACTCTCGGTCTGCAAAAATAGATTACATGGAAATATAAATATAATTCAGCTTCATTGAATTTGCCGCCAAATACCTTTTTTAAACATACCTTTTACACCACCAAAGGTACCTTTGACAAGAGAAAAGGAACTATATTGGAGATTGTGCTCATACATCAAGCTCAGGTGGTACTGCGTACCGGGCTCGGCATCTCCAGCATTCCCTGGCGGAAATAACACTCTTCCTTGTAAGGTCATACAGACAAAAGATCATGCATACAGTTAAAAAAGCTAAACCTTTAGGATTATTTGGCTGGTACATGCTAGAGTAACTGTACGCAGCTTCCTAAAGGAAAATGATCATGCTGACAAAGACCGGTGAGCAGAAAATGGGTCCCACACAAACCACACTTTGTGTGATTTGTGCTAAATTTTGTTACTATTTTTTTTATTGTTTTTATTTTATTACCTTTATTCAAAACATGCCGCTCTCGCTGGCACATTTGCATTCAAATAAGATCATTTACCCTTCCATAGCAGCTTTGCTATGCAGCTCAGTGGCTATAGTAACCGACTGCCACCGCACTGACCCAGGTTCAAGCCCCACTGGCACGTCTTTCTTATTTTGATTTTTGGATGAACCTTTGTAAGCTTTATATATAACATAACGCCGTGTAAAGCTTCCAGCGTGTCAGTTGTTCATGACACTCGCCCATGAAAGTTTTCTCCCAGAAAACGACCCATAAAACACATTCTGCGTGAAAAGGGAAACAGAATATTGCAAGGACGTAGCCAGTGCACTAGCATCCCACCAGAGCTATGTGGGAAAGCAAGCTTGACTGATGCAGAAGGCAAGCAGCACCACATCACATCGACGCACTTGTGCTCACCACTGATGCATGTACTCGGTGGCATTGGAACAAGGTGTACCGGGGGGGGGGGGGGGGAGGGGGGGGGGGAGGAGGCAATCACTCCCCCCCCCTTAAACATTTCAGACGTTTCCGGTTTCCAGTAAACAATTCAATGAAAGGGGAGGGCAATATTCCCCTCTCCCATCACTTTCCCCTACCTCCCCAACAGCTCTGGATGGACCAGTGGGCTTGAAACGACAAGCAAACTTTTCCACAGAGCTCTGGACAAAGTTTGGTCACATGCACATTCCGATTCATAACAGGAAGTTAGCATGGAGCAAGAAAATAAAATACTGTGCAACAAAATAAATGAGTCTTTCCGTGATAGAGATACATAAAAATATCAGAAGCATCGTCAACTAAATAGTAATCACCTGTTATGCTGTATACGGACAGTTTCCGAGGGTGAAGGAGAGCAATGTACACCTTGTCAGAGCCACTGGAACAGGTTAGTTGGTACAAGTTTCATCTGATTCACTCTGAACAGACCACATTGTCTTTCTAAATTTTTAATTGGAACATCACTTTCTAGAACAGTGGTTCTCAAATGGGGGTCCGCGGACACTTTGAGGTTCGTGAAGGCATTCTAGGGGTCCGCGAAGCCGAACCTCCCCACTCAAGCCCAGCAATAAAAGTTGTTTTTTCTTAGATTGAGAAGAAGCGTTCCAATTTTCGGGTGCGTTTTCTCGTGTATAAGTGAATAAAAGAAGTCTACTTCAGACTAGCACTTAGTTACATTCATTTATTAAATTTTTATAATAATTACACTATACTTTCTCTTTCTCTCACCACGAACAGGGTCCTCCATCATCCCCACCGATCCACAAGGGATCCGCGAAACATCAATGGCTGAGAACCACTGTCCTGAATATAACTGGAGTTGGTGCATCTAATCCACTAATGAGCAGGTATGTGGCAAAAAGGCATTGCACAAAGAGGAAAAGATGTCATTAAAGGAACGAGCGTGGCACAACAGGAACCAATCAGTAAGCTTCTGGCATCATGTTAACTCATGCACTGTCGTGACAACAGCAACAGTGATAGAAGCGGCATTTGACCTTGTAGCAGGTTCTGTAGCAGGCAAAATATTGGTTTGGAGCATCCACTCATGCTTTTGAAGCACATGCCAACATCTGTTAGCACATCACTTGAGAATGTAAAAGTGATTGCATCTCTAAATGAGTTCACTTATGATAGTGATTAAAGGTTCCTCCTTGATATTCGAGCATATTACTTATTACCGTTTATGATAAGAATAGACAGGGTGTAAAAGTAACATGGTCTACTTAAATAGGACTCTAGACAGAGCATGTTTCATTTACAATGGGTATTAAAAAATGGTTGAAAAGTGAATCATAGTGCAACACTCTACTGGGATAAATCCTCTCCCCCCTTTCCATTTTACATTTGACAGTTTGTTTAGCCTGTAAATATAATTTCTGTAAAATGCCAACAAGAACCAGCATATAAGCTAACAAGTCTACCAATAAAAATGTGTCCCACAGTTTAATGGACCTATCAAATTCAATACTCTAATATCATAAACTGCAAAAACAACCACCCAAAAATGTTATAGAAGCATACACTTGTGCTTCAATGTTGACACTGCTCTTTAGCAGCGTAGGAACCAGAGTTACGTCAAGGTTCACTGCTCTTTTGATCGACAGCTGCACAGGAGTAGTAGTAGTAAGTGGAGAGGGTAACAGAAAGCTGGAACATGTTGGCCACTCCTTTGAAGGGGGCAAGCTGCACAGGAACTACCATGACTACCGTATTTATTCAAATATATATAGACCTGTGTTCTCTTCTCTCTCTCTTTATCTACTCAGATTTTTTTTTTAATTAGAGATTAAATTACAATTAGGACAAAGAAGGTCGACCTGTAATAATCCTGAGCATAATTTGCATGCCTATCGCGCTAAGTCAGGCACTCCCCCAGATCAGTCGCTGCTCCTAGCACTCAGGTGCAAAGCGGTGAAGCTCGACGAGCGCACGCTAGTGAGAGGCGGTGAAGGTTGACGGGAGCGGCGCAAGTGACACGCTACTCTGCAGACATGATAATCGAGTGATCTTATCAGGAGTACAAGACCCTGCTCCTGTTTTATCACAGTAGCCGCAATCAGCAATCCTACTATTTTTGCTAACTTTTTTTGGGACTCTTAGTTCCTGACAGTGACGGCATCACCTGGAAATTTAGACGATGTCGGCGACCAACTAGCCAGTGCATCAACCGGACAGAGCGGTTGATACCCAGCATCACGGCTCTAGCCGGTCGATTTGCAGCAGCAAAGCGTGACATTATGCCATTTGCCATCTCCTTGAACGTGCTCTTTCATCTTTCAGCTTTTAGTATCTGTGTTTGAGGTTGTTTGGGTTTGAGCCTTCGACTGCGCTCTGACCAAAGGTGAAACAAACTATACGGTGAGCAGAGACGCTGTGAAATTCATACTTGTAAAATTTCTTGTTCCACTTTTCTGTATATTACGATCAACCATTAATAAAGTATTTATTTTGTTTCAAGCCCATCTTGGCGCAGGTGTGGCATAATTCTCAGCAAAAATGGCTTTTTGGCTCAGCTGTAGCAGACTCACTCATGGCTCAATTTGGCGCAAATGGCACAGCACTTCCATCGCTGCAGCGATATTGAACAAAAAAAACAAGAAACTAGAAAGATCCGGAACTCTGCAAGTATTTTTTCCACATTTTTCATCACATGATGCTAGCGCCTCCTCCTGCCAAGGTTCTATTCACACGAGAGAGAGATTTTTGTGTGGAGAAAACCAATTATGTCATAGAGCTGAAATAAAAGAAAAGCTCCGAGGAGGAAGAGGTTGGTAAGAAAATCTGGACGAGCATTCAAACAACAAAGTCGCGTGTAGCAATTGAGTTAACTGAGTCTTGTGAATGTGTTTGTAATTATCAGAATGGTCTGTTGAAGGCAGTCTTTCTCCACGAACAAAACAAAGGGAAAAAAAAAAGCACCCTGCAGTTCAACGTTGATGACCACAATCCATTTCCGAAATTGAAAGGTGGGGTCCAGTCACTCCGAGGGGCCAGCAGATACTCCGTGAGCCAGCTACAGAGATCTCCTTGGCTCTCCACAGATTGAGAGGATTAGTAAACATCCATGATGCCATGCATGTGACCCCAAAATGTGATGATGTTTAATCCTCTCCACAGAGAAAAACTATGCCATGTGAATTGACCATAAACATTCTTTATGTAAGTATAGTATTCTGGACAACACTATTCATTCCTTATGTAAGCATAGTGTTCTGGACAACACTATAAGAAATATTCTGTTTTATATTGTACAATATTGAGGTTCAGTGCTGTCTTTATCTACTAGTACAAGTTGTCAGAACACTGATTACTTGTCAAGTTTGTTCAAATATCTGATGGAGTAGTTTTCCTGCTATAACTGCAAATGACTACTGTCGACACTGGTTATAACGAAGTCGGTTATAATGAAACAGCGGCTACACCGAAGCAATCACGATTTCCCATTCCCGTTTGCACCTTTTCAATGCGTTTGTGTTTGTTTTTAGCAAACACAATTAATAGCAAAAACCGTGGATATAGCAACAAAAAAATTTCTGATCATTTAAAAAAATAATAAAATTCGGAAAGTTTGCGAAGTTTCACACCGCCGCACTTTGCTGCCTTGGCCGAGCAGCCACCAAGAACGGGCTGCAGACGATGCTGAAAACGCTGCCAGCGGCAGCCTCTACATGTCTGCTCTCTGCTCTTATCTGGAAAGCGGTTTTCCCACATCGCACGCGAAGAAGCCGTCGTGGCATGCCGATAGGGGCTTTCTAAGTGCTAGCAACAACGCACCGGTGGAGATGACGGAGAGAGCTAAAATTTAAAAGATGGAGCAACTCCAACCATTGAGAGCATTTGTAATTTAATGACAGACGCCTCCTCGGCAAATTGGCGCAAGTATGCGTGCATTTGGTTGTCATGTGGCCAGTGTGGCGAGGAAACGGGGCGGAGAGGCGGACACGTTTGCAGAAGGGAAACTGTATTGAGTTTTGACTCCTTGGATGCTGCACCTCGTTTTGCAAATGTGGCCCAGAAACCACGTGACCCCGATCGAGCAGCTGCCCCCCTCTTATATGCTCTATTTAACCGATGAAATACGAGCTTAAAGGGGCCCTGCAATCATATCTAAGCGTCTACCTTTTTTGCCGTTTCCACGTCTCTTGGGGTTCGGGCAAGCCAGCGGGCACGGAGAGAGTAACTAAATATCAGTGCATCATATTTTAACCGGACGACACGGAAACCTTCTCCACCTACACGGGCAACCCGCGTTGCCGAAAGCCCGCGATATGTGACGACTTTGGTCCTGGGTTTACTACTGGTCAGAACCGCTAAAATCTTTTTTTCAGTCAGATACAAAATATAAGTGTCGCGAACCGTTTCAATTATGTAGGAAAGTAGTTTTTGTTCAGTATTTTAGATCAGAAAAGAAGCAAATGCAGTTTATAAAGTACGGAAACAAGAAATGACCCGTCGACATACCCGCCACCAAGCAGCGGAAAAAACGGCGCATACTAGAAAGGGCTAGTGGGATGAGGCGCCGACGAACGGCGAGCGTAGAAAGGTCCAGGATGTACGCGGCGGCGCTGCAGTCGTAAACTGGCGCAAGGATCCGACCGGTTCCGAGCGTTCTGAAGGCTTTTGGCGCGGGCTTGGTTGGCGATTTTGCCATTTGGCGGCATGGCAGCGCGAAGTGGCTCCCATTCTGAACTGATATTTACCCCGTGTTTGCTGTCGTTTGTGGCCAATGAAGTGTTATGCCGAATTAGTCTTTAATCGTGCAGCAAATGCAATGCGAGCCGCCCTGGCCGCCCGCTTCATAAAGCCTATCCAACACGTGCTTTAGTGGCGCCCTCTCAAGCCGTCGACACGGAGTGCGGCAGCCGTGAGCGCTCGATGAGCTCACTACCCTTCCTCTAGTTCACGGCCACTCAGGCCAGGACCTACGACATCATGAAGATTTGAGAAAAGGAAAGTTTCATTAAGTTACTACGTTCAGTGCGCTTAGGATCAGTGCAAATTAAAAACCAGTCAAAAAGTTGTTGCAGGGCCGGCCCCTTTAAAAAGGTAGGGAAACGAAATTCCAGCGCTCATTTTCTAGCTTGAAAATGTGTCGCATGTTGCACCCTAACCTCAAAAACACCAGTCTTCCGTTGAAAGGCACAAGAAAATCAATTTTAAAGCTAAATAAACAATCTTTCAATGTGCACCTGGTGGATGCATGCGGAGCCTACTTGGGAGGTAATCTAGCAACGTTGGGAAACATGCTACGTAGTTGTGACGTAGCAGATTCCTTCGGAGCAGCGCCGCTCTTTGGAATTTCAACATTTTCCTTCTTAGCTTTCCTCCTAGCTATACTCACAAATCGCGCATTGTACCAAACAGTCAAAGAAGATGGAAAGGAAGGACTCCCCTCTTGCTCGGACCCTCGTTCGTGCAACCGGACACAACCATTCTCCCCCTAGAAAATTAGCCCGTCGCTCAAAACTCGAACAAAAGTTGCTTTCCCCACCACGCTCAGCCCTAAGCCGACAGTGTTGTGGAAGCTACGTGCTCCTTGGGCCAGTCACATGCTCGTCACCCCGCAGGTACTTCGAACGGCTCGGTTGTAACGCACCAACGCTATTGACACCACCACAATGCTGACAACGCCAACAAGGGCAAAGCTCATAACCACGCCAGCCTTGCTACGTCACGAATGCGGGGAATCTTTTCTTTCTGTTTTTGTTTGCGCCAGATATTCCATGACGCATCGCGCTCTCCTTCCCTTCTCTTCGAGCGCTTGCTCGAGTGCACTGTTTGGAACGAAAAATATAGCCAGGCATTCAAAAAACAAACGTGCGATTATCATTTACGGTTATTATCCGTCATGCTTGACTCATTTCCGAACGAAATTTGAATATTTCAATTTTCGTTTCCGTACCCCTTGTGGGAGCCGAGGGTGAAAGAAGAGGCAGATGGCACCTGACAGGCGGTCGGCGGAGAAGACATGAGCTGGCGCGAGACAGTGCGAGCTGAGCGAGGCTGGAGATGGACAAGGAACGTCGAAGCCAAGCTGCCTGGCGCGGCCCATGCATGGCGAACCCCGGAGCGGTCCACCAGCGAGGTCTGCAGCAAGACCGCTAGAAACGGCGAGCCCTGGCCATATGACCTGGGCTACGACGATCCCGGGGTGGTTCCGCAGCGAGACTCGGGCAGCGATTGCCCGGGACAGCCAGCCTACGCAGCGCTGGAGTGGGAAAGGCGATCCGCAGGCCTGGACACGGACCCCGACTGTGAGCTCTGATCGGCGGGCGACAAGGGTCGGCGGGCCCGGACTACCAGCTCTCGACGACGGGCAACCGGGAGGTACAGTAAACCCATTCGCTGTCTTCTCGTTGTTGTCACTCCCTGGGTGACGGGCGGAGCGCATACTGATCGGGTGACGATTACTAGTAGAGGGATCACCGCCGTGAAGATCCCCACACCCTTTAAGCGCGAACTCGGTGCTGTGCGCGCTTCTTCATTTGCTTCATGCTCCGTGTCGGAGTCGCTGATCCATGTAATCGCCCTCGCGCAAAAGTCTAACTTCGCTCAAGCACTGATTCAGCAAATCATAGCCACTCAATGATGGAGAGTCCCGGCACTGCCGGCACCTCGACAGGGAAGATGAAGGCACTCTCCTTGAAAGCATGCCATCCTAGACGAAGTGTGCGTAAATGTAAAAAATGCCGTCCACCGCCGGCATCCTCTGCGGCGGCCATCACATCTGTCGACGCAGACCGTACGTAGCTCGCAGGATCTTTTCTCGATAAAAGCTTCTCACAGTTGGCGAGAGGCGGCACCGATCTAGCAGAAAGTGCGTGCAGGGAAGCCTCGACCACTTTCTGAAGGCAAGATAAACATGTGCCCGTGATGGCTTATCTTTTTCTTTTTTTTTTTCCCGTGCTACTTTTATGAGTTTAGATATAATGAAGAAGCAGATATAGCAAAGAAATTTTCAATTCCTATTGATATCATTACAACCGGTCTTCACAGTATATGTGATTGAAAGGAAGAGAAGGTAATTTACATCTCGGAAGTTTACCCTGAGCAGTGTGTTTGCCACAAAGCAGCAAGATGAAGGAAAGCAAAGAAACACTTACGATACAAACTTCCCTAAAGAAACTTGCAAAACTGCCTGAGACATCTGGCATTCTAGAAGCAAGTGATCTGGCTTGTAGCCCTCAAACGTTCCATCTTCTTCCATGTTGCAAGAGGGCTGGTATACACGTAGAACTCCGGAATGGCTGCCCACAAGGATTTGATCTGGAAGGATGACAAGCTTCCTATGCAGATTTTTCTAAGAAAACCCTAAGTAATGCCTAAATAAGCATTCCGACTGCCTTTCTCATTCTAAGAATACATCTTGTCGAACAAAATCTTTCTATGTTTTGTGGTGTAAAGGTATAATATTCACCGATTTTTTAGGGGTTTTTTAATTTATTTTTTGCCCCAAATTCGGAGTATATTTTTGCTACACTTTCAATTTTCAGAAGTTCTGAGTTTACAATTGCTGTGTTCCCAATTCAAAATTCAATACTAAAATAAAAATACCCAGACATAAAACTGCACTAAGTTCATTAGAACTCGCTCATATCAAATAATATTTCTCCAGTTGGATTCGGCGTTGGCACCCTTGCCATTGGTGTGACTAACTGTCCTAATTGAAACTTAACTAAACTGACTAAACTTTAAAAAAATGTTTCCTTCAATAAATGTTGCTACTTTAAAATCAATAAACTCCTGGACATAATCACTTGGAAACTCGTTTTCTTCCCCTCCCATCCCACCACCCTGCCTGCTGCGTGAAGTGGGGAGCTGAAGTGATTTCAGCTGCCCAATCCCTCTTTAATGAAATGTGTGAGTTCATAGCTTTCAGTCTTATAAAACAGAACCCTTCCTACCTCTATGAAGCCCAAATCATAGGTTCCAAACTTTGAAGTGGAACAGTGGCTTTTGCCGTGGTGCAAAAGTATAATCGCCCGCTGTCCTGAATGAGCTTCTGAGAAGATAAACAGCATACACTCTTTTGTCAATGGTCTGAGATTTGAAAGGAAACTAAAGTGGCCTCTACTCAATACCACTAAATGACCCTGTACCAAACCTATTTGTACATCACAGTCTTTATTTTTTTTTCGTTTTCATTCTTTTTTACATTTTGACCTTGAAATTTGGAGTTTATTGAAAAAATCCTGGCGGGTGTTTTTCAGGTGGGTGTTTTTCAGATTTATCCGAAGACACAGAACCCAACCTATAGTGCACATCTTTCAGACAAACGTTTTGAATGAATGACTCAGTCCTTTTTGGCAACCAATGGTGCAATATCTTGAACGACAGTCCAAAGGAACTCTGCTGAGTCTTAGAAAAGTACCAGTATTCCATCCTGCAAAAAGGGACACTTGTGCAAAACAGGTTAAGCAATACATGTAGGGTTCTATGTCTTTTTAATAAACAAAAACAAAAAAAAACTTCTTGGTAAAAATACAACTCCAAACTCAGAATTTTGGCTGCAAAACTCAGAATTTTGTAACTGCCAGATGCCAAGGTCAGGCGTGTTTATACGAGTTACCCTGTATTAAAGATTTTATTAAAAAAACTGAGCGTCATGCTTTATGCATAAAACAGTTACCACTTTTGCTTATGAGGATTGCAAAAGAATATCCTTGTCCTTGTAAAAAAAAAAAGACGGCAGCCTTTCTACGACAATTGTAAAACACGTCTCGCCTTCTCTGCTGCCCCCTTAAGAGACTTCCTCCTGGACAAGTCTCTTTCCTAGAAAATCATTCGCCTTTCTCCGGCCTTTTTTTGTTTTAAGATTGAACTTGGCTGTCATCTACACTGAGAGCAGGGATTCGAAAGATACAGTCAGACTGCATCACCTCTGTGTGATCGGCAGGAAGCAAAAGCTCCCTATTAAACCAAAGAATACCTAGATTTCAAAGTGTCGAGATTATTTTCTAATAGTTCTACCACATATGAGTTGGCACAGCTAATGAAAGGGACATCCTCCGCATTGCCGAATACCAGAATTTTAATCGGCACATCCATCTGAAGAAGACTCATCTCGAAACAGATGTGTATTTAATTAACCGTAGAATGAATGGTGAAAGGCTCTCTATGAAAAAGATCCATTACTAAACTCGCAAACTGTTGTTCTCCACCTCGACCAATGACACTAGCCATCCAGAATACTCCGAATTTCATGCATGATGAACGAAAGCACTGAAACACTCTGAATTTTGAATAAGAAATAAACTCCAATATAATGCCACCTCATTTTGCTCAAATATTAACTCCATAAATGTAGAGCCAATATGTGCAAAAGTAAATTTTTACTGATAGGAAAACACACTCTACTGAGTAATTGAGGGCACTGGTAGTGAATGGCCACATAGGACAAAGTAAAGCTGCAATTTTGTATGAAAACATACTGCCCTACTTTGAACAAAAGAACAACTCACTTGTTTTTGCGGGGTTGTTATCAGCATTCCCAATACAAAGGCAACTGGTGTCGAAATTTTCATCAGAGCCGCAATGTGTTGACCACCATTCACGTACCTTGAAAAGGGACATGCTAAGTTTTTCCTAATAAAAGCTGTAAAGAAATACATATCTGGAGTCAAACACACAACTAAAAATAAAATGTAAATGAATTAGCTCTGTATGTTTTGATACTTTCTATTTTTGTTATAAACGCTCGAGAGCCAAGAACTCATTCCAAAACATAACCAAATATCAGGGTTGAGCAGTATCACGATACAAATGTATTGCGATAGTATTTTAGAAATACATTTGTTATTTATATTTCTGTAGCGCAATGCAATTTTTCAAGTGTATTTTGTATCTCTGTGTTGAAATACCTTTTCGGGTGTATTTCTGGTATAGCGATACTATTAGGAGCCGATGTACCTCATTACATTTTTGAAGGAATCGTTGCTTTCCAATAAAAAGTTCAAACTGACATTCTTTTTCTTGAGTGGGGGGAGGGTGGTGTTAAGGAAACGCCGAGGCTTTGTATTGAGGAGACCAACGTTTGTAAAGAAAGTTTTGTCCCCGACCATACTCACTCACTTCTTTATGTGAAAAGATAGTAAATGTTTTTGCAGACTTCGGCGTCAACTCTTCTCGAATATTCCAAAGTTCTAGGAGCTGCCGGCACGTCCAACCAACAGTTAAGAGAACACCGTTTCATCCCACCGTGACGTCATAAGATCACTCCGAGACGCCTAGGCTGAACAAGGGCATGGTGATATCGAGGCTATTTGGAAGCGCACAAAAATTATTTGGAGTTCCCTATGATTTTGTCCGAGAAGGATGAGAAATGCCGAGACAGATTGCACCCTGGACCTGATAGAAAACGTTTTTCAACCCATTAAAAAACTGCTTGCTTCCTGGTTGCTATTCTGTTAATTCTGCGAGAAATCTATTTCAAGTGCAAAAACGTTAACGACGATATTCAGGCTCAATCTTAGTGAGTACTCGTTGGTTGGTTTCCCCCCAAAGGTCTACCTTAATATTCCGAGAGATAGCCCACCTGAAACTAAAAGCAAATCGGGTGAAAATAAGGAATGGGCTAACTTTCGGTGTGCGATACAAAAAGTTTAAAAGATGTTAGTTTTAGATTTTGTGAGCTGCGAAACTTGTGATCACAGGGAGGGGCAATGAATCAAAGATGACCGTCCTTCCCAGTCAGCAATGTTCGCTTATCTCCCACGATGGCTAAGTAACACCATTTCTGCCGAGGTGATTAATGGCCAGGACCCTGCAATTACTAGAAGTAATTGCAGGACAATGTCAAAGAACATCGCAAATAGCAATTGTTGTTTAAAAATGCAGATGGTTGAACGTGTTGGTTTCTAATTTAAGTTATCATAAATGTTTAAAAATGTATTTCAGTATCCGTATTTCTGTCCCGGCAGAATATGTTCCTGTATTTGTATTTCCAAATACATTTCTATTTTTAAATGTATTCCCGATAGATATCACGATAGCTTATTGTAAGTGTATTTCAGTATCAGCAGTCTTTGTCATGTATCCCTGTATTTGTATTTCCAAGTATTTCTGTCCGACCCGGCCAAGACCTGAAAATAGTTACTCTCTTCATGCCAAGAAAACAATCAAGTATCCACAAAAAAAAAAAGTATATATATAGGGTAGTGTTAAGTCACTAGGCTCCATCTAAAATGGACCGTAAAAATCGACGCCTGCACGTAGCAATCTAATCTTTTCGTCAAAGGTGCAATTCACAGGTCGGTTTTTTCTTGTAAAATTACAAAGCGTAGCTCTCTTTCTGTAAAAAATAAAGCCTAGAAACTAGCCAGGGTCTACAGCAGGCAGCAACGCAGACGATAGGGGTCCAGTAGTGGGGTGTGTTTGTTGTTCGTATTGATGGATGGCGCTACCTCCTTATCGCGACCACCGTGGTTTATAAAAATGAAAATGATATTTTTGAAATGTGCCTTCAGTTAAAAAATAAATGCGAACAATAAAAGCAAAACTTAAAGTACAAAAAAAAAAACGTCTGCATAACGGCGGCGCTTTTGCTGCCAACGGATTTCGTCAGCGTGACGTCTGCTATCTTTCGCTGGTCGGCTGCACCTTCAGGCGCTGCTCCCGACGCCATCTATCAATACGAACGCCAAACACGCCCCGCTACTGGACCCTGTCATCTGGGTCGCCACCCGCCGTAGACCCTGGCAAGTTTCTTGGCCCTATTTTTTACTAAAAGAGATCTACGCTTTGTAATTTTTCAAGAAAAAACCGACCTGTGATATACACCTTTGACGAAAAGTTTATATTGCTACGTGCAGGCGTCGATTTTTACGGTCCATTTTAGATTCAGCCTGGTGACTTGAACCACCCTATATATATATATATATATATATATATATATATATATATATATATATATATAATTAAAAAGGGGTGGAGGGTGGAGGACCCCTCGAATAAGCATTTGACTAATATGCGTGATGTACTAATAAGCCAGGTATACGTGATGTACTACATAACTACATAAGGCTGCAACATGCCAGCTGGGTAGTTTAAGCATTTCTTCGATCAGCTCGAAAAACTGATGCCAATGCCAACAAGAATCACGGATCTGCCGGATCCGGCCCGCGGGTTGCCGACGCCCGTCCTAAACCATGACGTCCAACTGTGGTTAATTCTTCCTATGCTGGCGTAGATCTCGCAAAAATGAACTGCTGTGTCTAGAGAAAGTCGGAGGACCCGGTGCCTTTGAACGAGGTCCACACTAAACCTTCCCCCGGTTGTCTTTTTTTTTTTTTTTTTTTTTTTTTTTAAACATGGAGAGTTTTGAATGCGCGAAAAGACCTCATGCAGCTTACCCACAGCGGCGAAAAGAAGCAACGCCACACGACGTATAAATCATGGCACAAACGCCCGTGCCACACAAACATCGCAGCATGCACAAAATTATATTGCAGCGTTACACGAGGACGCTGGCAATCGTGGTTCAAGAATTGGACCGTGCATGGTACATACACGGCATTATAACGCTGTAATAATAACAATAATAAGTGTACAGAAAGACACTTCAAGGCAGCCCGAAACACACTGCGCAAAATGGATGACGCATGCACGTATTTTACAGTAAGGAACGAGAATAAATGGAAGAGAAACACGCGAGATACAGACCCAGAACATAGAACGCAAATAGTTTTGTTTGGTTGCCATAGCGACCACAGCAGCACACCAGTGCTGGCCCAGTGTTGTGTTCCGATATAGCGATATCGGCGATATCCTCCGCCTATGTGCCACGTCAGCCACGTGCCACCTCCCGCAGCCGTGGCCGCCGTGTCCGCCGTGCCACCTCCAAGGGAGTGCCATGTAGGGATGTCGCGTGTCCGAGTGGGCTAGCGCACACCAGCTCGGAGCACGTGGAGCGAAAGCTGGCGCCTGCCTAAAGTGTACTAGCCCATTTCGATCTGGATGAGCATCGTACCGGCTAGATACGGAGCAGAGTAGCGCAATCCTTTGATCCGCGTGTTTCGCCGACAACATGGCCGACAGAGCAGCTCCAGCTCGGCGCGAGTCACGTGGTACTCAGGGTTCCAGGACGCGGCCCGCCCCAACGTTACTAGATACTAGTGATGGGACGAATCTTTATCCGAATCGAGATTCGGAGACGAATCTGAAGATTCGGAAAGATTCGGAAAAGTAGCCGAATCTCAAGCGATTCGGAAAAGTTCGGAAAGATTCGGAGCGTTGCCATGGTTGCCAAATCACGTTGATGTGTGTTTCAACTTTTCGTGATATTAAATTAAATCAATTCTACAAAGTGCACGAAATAATATTGTAATATAATATTAGAGTAATAAATAATATGTTCCGCTTTGTTAATATTATTTTGGATGTTTATCGAGAACAGTAGCCTAGCCAGACATCGCGGAAATATTGGTTTCGGTTCCGGATCACGACCCAAATCGCCCAAATAGGCATGTTGGTGCACGCACGTGGAAACACATGCGCATGTTTTCATCGCCGCAAGAGATCGATGCCGTACATGCTGTTCGGTACAAACACATTTCGTGCCCATAATTACTATCGCAGTGGCACACACCACATAAGTGAGTATGTTCAATTCGATTATCTCCAACGAGTGCCCACTGAGGTATTTCTATTGGATCACGGGAAACAATCTGAAACTCCTGGTTAATGCAGGCTTTCCGATTTAGTGTTTGTTTCCGAACAATGAAGTTGTGTTGGACACCCCTGTGTTGTGTTTCTTTTTTATCAAATAAAGTTCATGTACACAAAACTTGCTGCCGAGAACGGAGAAACGAGTTTTTCTTTGCCACCGGTGCCAGTACGCGGCCAACATTCATCTCGCTCTCGCGCCTTACAGGTACAGACATACGCAGCTCTAGAGAAGGAGACGAATAATTTCCTTGCCTGAATATATATTTATTGTGAGTTGCGCCAGATTACATATAATACACAGCGTTTCGCTACATTTCACCGGTCACCGCGAAACCGCACAGAAAGCGAGACCGTGCATTGGTTAGGCCTACGTGAACCACATCGATCAGCTCAGCTGGACCTGGGCGCGTGCCAGGGTTTACAATGACAGTACAGTACATACCATACGTTGAAATAAACAAGACGATATCTGGCTATATGCAGGAACAGTATTTAAGAGGCGCACAACTGACCGCATACGCGAGGTTTACGACAACCTTCATGCTGCCGCCTGCATCCAGCGACGAATCTGACGAATCTCCGAATCTGCCGAATATTCGTCGCGAAAAGTTCGGAAATTTCCGAATCTGTCCGAATCCGAATCTCCGGTGATTCGTCCCATCACTACTAGATACTCTTCAGTTCTCAAACTGCGGAGCTCCGCCTGACGCCTATCTGTTGCGCTCCGCTTGGGGGCGCGCGCGACGGAGTTTGCCCGGCAGGCGCCAAACCCCACGGCCGATTCGGCATAGCAACACGTGAAACACGTTGCGGGTAGTGTGCGGCGGCGGTGTTTCCGTTTGGTTACGTTTGTGCTCGTAGCCGCGTGTGTTGTGTTTGTGCATCGTGCTGCAGCTGCATGAAGCATGCCACGCTGTCGTGCAGCGGTGTAAAAGCGGGGACGATTCTATGCGATTTGCGGAAGAGAAGAGACATTTTTTCAGGCCACCCAGCCAGCGACGCTGACCGCCTTGAACTCTGGAAGCGCGCAGCACCAAGGCTGGACAAAAAGCTTTCGAGCTCGTCTTCCGTTTGCGACCTTCACTTCCACGATAATGACATCTTGAAGGTCTTCGAGCACAACGTTTGTGGAGATGTGGTAGCTATACCGTGCGACAAATAGGCACTGAAGCACGACGCCATGCCTAGCCTGTTCCCGAATCGTCCTAAGTATCTTTTTAAACCGACACGGAAGCGCAAAGCCCCTACTCGCAGACTGTCCCCGGCAAAAAGCAGGCGCCGAAAAGAACAAGGTGAGCGGTCGATTGCAGCAGTTCAAGGCGAGCCGAATGTTGTACTTGTTCGTGTGGAGGACACATTGAAGACCGCTGGAGAGGCTCGTCGATCAAACAGAGCTAGCTTGAGCAATGAGATTCAGGCTAGGCTACTGAAAATGACATTTCCATGTGTTACTCCTGACCAAAGGAATGATGAGCACAGCTACTTTAGAGGTTCACCAGACGACAGTGTTGCGTATTACCTATCTGGGTATGTTGTACACAAAATGAGCAAGCGCACAGAGTGCCAGTTGTGCCTGCATGACATTAATTCAGCAGCTCCTGTCGTCGGTTCTGACGCATACTTGACCATATATCGGAGCTTCAAGGAAGGCAGCCTGAGGCACCCCAGCAGTTTGACTCTCTCGTGATGAGGAAGGTCTCTGTGGGGACTTGTTTTGGAAGGTTCTGGACAAGCTGGATAAGTGCAATGTAACGCGGCTGGGTTGTGGTCAGCACAAGCCCACGTTCATGTGCCAAATGTTGTATTTTCTTTTTTTTTGTCACGCGGATGCATTTTTACGCGAGGGATATCAACCGTCGCCTGCAATTCTCGAGAGAGTCGCCATCGCCAGCAAAAAAGCTCGTCTATCATGAAACCGCGTTCAACAATTGCATTGTGTGTGCGTCTTTGTGTCTCGCAGTAAGTGCTTTTCGCGCCACCGAGAGAATAAAGTTTCTTTGCCTTGCTTATTTTTCGTTTTCAGTAACGAGTACGCAAAGAGTGGCGGTGATACTTTCCGGGCAGCTTCGCCGCTGCTGCTTTTTCCTGTTCATTCCGCTCATTTAGAGCCTCTGCCCAACGTCTGAAGAGGTCCCTAATGACTGCAAAAATCGGAGGCGCATTGCATGACACAATTCCAAGGCAAAGATTGCCCTAATTTTAGACAAACCCCCGAGATTGGGGAAAAGATGAAGGACAACACAACACACCGAGTGTCAGACAGAGTTGAGACTGTGTTGTTTTGGCCTTCGTCTTTTCCCCAGTCTCGGGGGGTTTGTCTAAAATTATGTTAAACCTTCACCAGCTCGTTTGCGCCCTAACGTTTTCGTAACTAATTTCATTTGCTGCACAAACACCCAGCGCGTCGCGCTACGAAGCGCAGGGCACCGGGCTAACGGTGGCCGCCGCGCCATCTGGCTAGCGGAAACGAAAATGGGCCACGCATCGACGGCCGCCGCCGGGGGAGTTTGATAACTGAAGGTATCTAGTAACGTTGGGGTATCCTGGAGAATCTATCCCCGTCTCTTCAGCCATCTTGGAACTACCGCCCCGCCACCTATAGGGCGTTGGAGTTGCGATGTACGACAATCATGTCGTATTACACCTGAGACTGCGGTGGAAGAAATCGGAAGAACTTTCAGTAGAAGGAACAGACACAGAGAACGTCTCAAACTTACGACAAACTTACGACAACTTTTCTTGGCAATGCAGTGGAAGGTACAGGCCCGCGTTCCCTCTCTCATTTTGAGTGTGCGCAGGCTCTCCTCCTCTCCCCATTTCCGGGGAGAGGAGGAGAGCCCGCGCACACTCAAAATGGGAGAGGGGACGCGGGACGTACCTTCCACTGCATTGCCAATTGAAAGTTGTACCGGCGTGCGGTCGTGTACCCCAGGCTTCCTGTTGTACTTAACTGGCTAAATTTCTCATTGGCGAGTGACTCGCCGCAACTTTGAAATGGCCCACCAACTACACGCTATAAAAATATCCTCACAACCCCAATTATTATTTGTTATTTTGGCGAGCTCTATTTTCCGGAAATTGCGTGCGAACGCAGCGCATTCTGAAGTTTCTGAACCTCCAACGAGGATTCGTGATGAGAAGTTGGCTAAAGCCAAGACGAGCGCAGTTAAAAAATGTTGGCGGCCGGGTGGGTGGTGTCGGTGGTGTCGTGAGCGCGACCACAAGCGCGACGACGGCAGCATCCTCGCACAGGGGGAACAGCGCACCCGCAAAACAATCACCGTGGCATCCTCGCGACTGCGATTTTCAACAACGATCGCCGGCAGCTTATGCTTGCGACGCGCGAACATTTCTCGGCGAAGGTACGGTGTGCGATCAGTGCACGATACCTCTCTTGCAGAGGCAACGCAAGTGGACACGACCGGTCGACCTAGGTCGACCGTTCCCGTCGCATTCTCATATTTGAACAAATCTAAAATGTTACTCTAAATGAAAAAACTTTTTTTTTTTCTTTTACAGCGGAGCTTTAAAGGGTTAGTTTCCCCAGGATTGTGTCCGGTACCAAACAAATGTCAACACCCGTGGTCTAGAGTAGGGGTGTCGCGAACTTTTGTCGTACCAGATTTTTAGGTCGAACTTTCGGAGATCGACTGGGTCGAACCGGTTCGACGAACCTTCAAAACTTTTAACCAGATTCGACCGGTTCGACTTTGCGGACAGTGTGGCCAGACCTTGATACAAGCATGTCTAGGTTTGGAGAATTTTGTTTTATCCGAAGGTTTCTTTTATTTTATGAAAAGTTGCAATTGAAAGAAATCAATTCTAATCACTGAAGAAGTTAATTAATAACTTATTTTTGTACTGTTTTAACTGAAATAACAAATCAGCGCTGCCCTTAATTCATTCCGTAGCCATCACCAGCCAATCCGAAGCCAACTGGCCATCCTGTCGCGCATGCGCACACGAGTCGAACCTCAATAAAAGGTTCGTCGCACTTTCCACTAAAAGTTCGGAAAAGTCGAACCTGGTCGAACTCGAACCTCGGCCGGTTCGCGACACCCCTAGTCTAGAGCACTAT